GACGCACTATTTACGCCCAGACTCATTCAACACTTTAAGACGGTGTTAAGATATCTTCGTGGGTATTCCTTAAAAAAGAGCAAGAATTCCAAATTTTTTTTGTCTTTTTTCTGTTGAAGCGAGTTAAACATAGCTACCGATAATAATTTGACCGAAATAACGCCTGGCCCAAATGAGTAGAAATACCGAATGAATGCGTGAACATCCAATGGACGAAAAGTGAAAATTAACGGCTTGTCAGCTACAGTGATGTATACCACAGCTTTCTAGGCCTTGAAAGGAATGTTTTTTGTCATTGTCACCGATTATCATCTATTATCACCTATTATTTGGCCCTGCAAGTCTATTCTATACCGACGAGAGCGAGTAGCGCAGTCAGAGGCTTTGTGCTGCTCACACGTGGGCTTTGGTTCAATCCGGCGCCCCGGACTTATCAAATATCCTATCCCTGTGAACTCGCTTGGAAGCCTAAAAACACTGGCGTGACGTATCAGTATGCCACCCAAAGAGATAGTGCAAACCTTTGCATTTAATCAATCTGACAGTGCTTTATGATGTTGAAAGTATGGCACATCCTCAAGTGATTGATCAGTGCTGAGAGTTTTATCCTTTATCCTTTGTACAATGTAATAAATTCCACACCATTTTTCTGATTTTCGTCTTGTGATGGAAGTCAACAAAGTTCACGGTGACCGCTGAGTTTAGTAATGAGGATTTTGTTGCATCAAAAATGCATATTAGATCGCTCTTCTGAAGTCGTGAAGACGAAGTGAAGTTGGGAATGTTGTTCATTATTCGAATAAAGTTCAGTTTTAAGTGAACGTGGTCACCTAGGGTAGAAAGCACGATATACATGCTATGTTTGCAATTCATTACCATAGGAGGTTGCACTCAACTCCCACGACTCCAGACGACTTTGCTAAAAGATCCTAGTGTGGGCTGAATGTAATTACGTTCTAATAGTGTATTGCTATTCACTTCTAGTGCTTTGTCATCTCACTGTGCTGGCAAGATGTTCTTGCTTACTCAGGTGCATTCTGCAGCAGGACGTCTATCATTCAAAGGAACGTTGAGTTCGACATTTCCATCTGGTATGACATGCTAACAAAGAAATCTGTACGTGGAGGAGTTCGGCAAGGTAACTATTAAAGTATTCTTGCTGAAAGAAACAGTTTTGACCCTTTTATTTACTGCCTTTTTTTTAAATGGCAGGGTATGTTGCGAAATATAACTCGTGTATAATGCTGAGATATTTGCAAAACTCCGGACCGCAGGTGTATGCAGTGGGGAACGAACACGCTCTGTTGTCCTTCCCGGGGAGTAACGCACTTCACCACCACACCATCCGGGTCCCTCGTTTTGCCTGTCACTCAGCTAGTTCTATTGATCTTTTGCCATCAGCAATCACCCGTCAACGAAATTGATCTGGGGAGTTAATATCGGCATTGAACCCAGTTAAGCTGAGGTTTAGTTATAATCACAATCTTGACCCTTTTATTTTTAAAAGAAACAGCTTTAAGAATTCTAAGACAATAGAAAAACCAAACTCGTATGAAGATGTGATGCCGCTCATAATTTTTAACCTAGCGGAATCAGTTGGAAAGTAATGGCTCACTTTAGGGACGAATGAAAACAGTGGCGTCCGGTCGAACTACCGGATGTTTGGTGGACAGAGAGTTGGTTTCTTTGACATCTTATATGATTTAATGAGTTTTGGCAGACTGTAAAAAATAACATTCGGAAAATTGTCTGGGAAATCGCTTTGAACACGTTGGGATCAAACTGCTTCCTTGAAGACTGTTGTCCAGATTGAGCTTTCCGTTCACAAAGACCTGCAACCCATTGGGAGAATTTCAAGAAGGACTTATATAGAAGTGCTGACAAAAAACCTGTCATCACTTTCTAAATCTCTTCATTCAACGAAAATAGAGACACTTTATTCAATAGGAATGTAATTATGACGAAAGTGATAGTTAGAAGCGGACAAATAACTTTTTCCATTTCTTCCTCTTTTCTCCTTGACATAAACTTTCTAAAAGACGATCCATAACCAATCAATCTGTACAATCCTTTAAATTCTTGCGATCAATAGAGTAAAATGATAAAAATTTCATGGTGATCGCTAGCTGATTCACGTCCATTGACATTTGGCCGACACTTTGATTGAACACGAAAAATTCTGACGAATGATCTTGTCGGCCGGCTATTGTAATATTCATCATCGTAAGACCAAATGTACTTTCCCAAAAAATGAATAGGTCCCGATTGCCGCCACATGATTCTTTAGAAAAGAAGGCGGAGCCGTATGACTACTAAAAAAGTGCTCCAAACACCAGCTGCAGTTTGAGCGATCGACATCTTATTCGCACATGTGATCCCGTCCTTTCTCGTGAAACTGAACACCTTGCAATCAATGCGTTCTTGTTTCTGTTCCTTCCGTTACTTCAGAAGAACTTTAACTAATTACTCATTTCATCCATCCACTTATTGAGCTACTTATTGGCTATGATCTTATCCGGGGTACAAAATCGTATCTCTTCCAAACTTTTGCCCAGATTTTTATTAGATTGGTAGTCACAACTATTCCAATTCTTATAAAAACATTAGTTTACAGCAATGCTTTTCGTTAGAGAAGTTTGCTTTTCCAAACTGATTTCAGAATATTCTGTCCGCAGTGTTTTTTTTCCCGCCACTAAACCTCCTCCAATCCAGAACTTCATTCCTTGTGTGCATATCACCATCCCTGAAGGATCCCAATGAGTTGCTTCTTGAACTTGGCCTTAATGTAGGAGTTGTTCTCAGCAATGGCATAAAAGTGACTTTTCTCGTTGTGAGGTTGCGTGTCATGTGAGCGTCAGCTGTAAAGCTTGGACAATCGCATTTTTGCTTTGCTCGCAATCATTTCCTTTGCTAAAACCTAGTTGTATCTTCCATTACCTATGAAAACTCATCCTCCCACTTTTCGTGGCTGGTGCCCTGAAAACGCTAAAGAGATTTGAAGAAGCTTTCAAAGATTGTTGCCAAAATGCTGACTTTCTATTTATTGCCTATAACACTTTTTCATGGTAGGGTATTACATGTGATACAACCACAATGATGCTGAGATATTTGCAAAACTCGGACCGCAGGTGTCTGCGGCGGGAAACGAACGCGCTATTACCCTTTCCGAGAGCAAACGCGTTCACCACTACACCATACGAGTGCTTCGTTTCGCCTATCTCTTAGTTAGATTTCTATCTTTATTTCTATTCCTCCTATTTCTATTGTTATCAAACATTTTGCCAGGATTAATTTTTTTTGAATTTTCCATTTTTCGAGGGTTCAGTACCATTTGTTGTAAATGCTATTATGGATATCGCTGTCGTTTTCATGGTTTCTTTCTGTGGAAAGTAGCATTGAAGAGCAGCAGTATCAATCATGTTGTTCAGTTCTTGGAGCATCTGAATGCTTCAGTATATCACTAGTTTACAAACAGTCCACAAATTACAATGTTTTAACTTTTATTTAACGTCTATTCTACTTTTATGGTAGGGTATTATGTGAAATATAATCACGACAGACGCGTGTAGAGCAAGTTAGAGGCGCGCTGCAATACATGTGAGATCCACCCTGCGCCTCAGCCAAGCCCTTCATTCATCCATGGTCAGCAAATTGGTACCAAATTCGTCTAGGAGGATAGTAGCACTGATTCAATACATCGGTAAGGCACCACGGATCTTTGTAAAGGTCAAATATTCATTCAATAATCTTTAGCGATGATTAATGAAGTCGAATGTATGCACATCACTCAAGAAATGATCAACACTGAGACCTTTATCGTTTTGTCCTCTATAATCACAAGAGAGTTAAGATATGAGCAAAACTCGGAACACCACATAACCTCCGTACCCGTGATTACCCTTTTCGAGGGCTCACGTGTTATATTCTCTGCGACAACCGAGGCCTTTGCTTTACCTTTTTCCCAGCCATTTGTTTACCCCAAAGGTGCTGTCAGTAACAGTACAGTCCACGAATCGATGTGCACAAAGTAAAAATATCGATGCCAGCCGTCGTTGTAAACACGGTTGTTGGCTCGATCCCACTCTATGGGCAGACCGGATCTCTTCGAGTAGAGAAATTGCTATACTTATATACTATACTTGTTACTTGTTTGGCGTGACAAAAACAGTTGGTACATCCCTAGGTCTCAGCAGGTGATTGCTTGTATTGGACAAATACGTTTTGAAGCATTTCTACGTTGCTAAATAGAGTCAGTAGCTCAACGCGAATCCCTATAGAATAGCTCGTCACCGAGCTTTTCACTTTTTCTAATTAGCCTCTTGTTGTTAATCGACTCTTAATGAGTCTTTCGAAATTTTCTTTACGTTCGGCCGACCGTGAGGAGCACATCACTGTTCTAATTCACTACCTGTTAAACTGTCTTTCACTTGATTTCTTCAAGACGGATATTCATGAATGCGTACTGAGACGACTACCACCCACGTTTATTTCTTGAGTCTACCTTGTTTAATTTGTACAAAATCGATTTTTTTTCGTTTTAATGTTTAGACGTTGTTGTTTCGTTAACTTTCTGTGCGGTCTGCTTCACACACCAGCTGACTAGCCACCAAAATAGTGCAAGAAGCATTTTGTGCGGTAAAGTTCATGGCAGGAAAATAGGATTTATCGATTAGTGTCACTAAAATCTATACAACTTTTTGAAAATTTACGTACCTTAAATTTGAGTAGCGAGATCTTTTGTATATTGTCATAACGAGATTCCTGCTGTTGTATCAAATGGAAGCTTTTCAAAATTCTCTAAAATTTATCCCTCTTTGGGTATGGCTAGTGCTTGTCAGGCCGATTTCGGCACAAGTTGAGCTTCTTTGGGGACCATGCTGTTTAGTTAACGCATCCTTTTAATAGTGACGCGTGTTACTTTGCACACCATCGTACTCCTTCATCATTCCATCTCTAAAAATTAGTTTGACAATAACAGTTTTTGCCAGTCATTTTTCAGGATGGGTTTTCATGGCCGCACGGCGACATCTGGAGAAGTGTTTCTGCGAAAGGTTTCGTAAGGTTACAAAGCTCAGTGAGAAATTTTATATATTATGTACTATGGAAGAAGTTCTATTGCATTGAATGCTTCACGTCTGTCTCTTACACTCCTCAAATAATCTTTCTGTAAATCTTGTTTCCTTGGTTAGGTGGCTTGTTTTCAGGACTTCATCACTGCCCAGGAGAATTTGAACTTGACTGATGTCTTTTCGTTGGGTAGAGTTTTTGTTTGACTCAGATAGCCATGCTGGGAAGTCCCTAGATTACGAGAAAGCCTTGTCAAAGAGTTCCCAGGCTATCATCAGGCCACGCTAGGGAGTTTCATGATCATCACTAAGAGATGCGTGGCTACTACCTGATCATCACCACAGCCGGTTTCAGCTTCTGTGGATCACTACCAAGTTTTTTTCGCTTTGTGAACGCGTGTTTTCTAGACCGGGTTTTGATATTGGTTTATTTGTGTCTAGACATCCGGATGGAAATGTAAAGGTTGTTTTCGCCGCTCTTTCATTCTCGAACATGCAATGAAATCTGGGCACGAGAATTTTACTAATTGCGCCAAAAATCTGAGAAAAATGATTTTCTTATGATACATTGCCGTGCTCATCCATCGTTGATGATTAACGACAATAAATACTACATTGTATAACTTTTTCCAGGTTCGTATGTTGGATGATTTACCATCCCATATTCGACTTCGCGTCTATCAACTGATCGACCCGAAGGTTAGCGCACCAGAAGTATTCTTATTAGAAAAAGGAATTCATTTGAGAAATATTGATTAAGGTGCTGACAACTTGCGAGTGTAGTGCAATGGTTAGAGGTGTCCTACAACATTTACGTGGTCATTGGTTCGATCCTGCATCCCGAGCTCACCAAGCCTTCCGTCTCCTCGGGGTTAGCAAATGGATACCGGAGTTGTCTGCAAGGACAGCAGCACCAAGTTGATACATCGGGGTAGGCTGATGCAGTTCCTGTAAATATCAGGCATGCTCAAAAAATACTTTCCTCGTGAACAACACAAGGGTGGCCCAACGCCACGGCTCTGAGGAAGGCGAAGTCGCTGAAATGTTAGCAGTTGAACAACGACAGCAACAACGATAAGAATGTCAGTGCCAACCTCACGACGGCTAGAAAAGGACAGTTCGCTAGATCACATAAATATATTTATCAGACAGGCATTCAGTTACCTCTACCGATGATTAATAAAGTCAAATGCATGGCGCATTTCTCAGTGGCCGCTCAACGCTGAACGTTTTACCACTCATCCTTTATTGGTAACTTGCGTCAGAATTTCGTTTAGAAATGAGAGTTAGCAAGTTAGAACTTGTTCATAATCACGATGATGACTATCTGTAGACAAATCAAAGTGTTACTAGTCTTTTTCTTACCAAACCTCCAACATATGAAGAGCTCAGCCGTACTCGTTTAGGAGTTGAACAAGTCATCATCTACTTTCGAGTGGCTCTTCACTGCATTGCGCTACGCAAGCCACAAAGATTTCGTTTGAATATTTTTCAAAATTCGTACTAAATCTGAAGAGAAGCACAAAACGAGTTTGTTTTTGGTCCACAGAACTATAATGACAGCCAACAGATGTTATCGTATATTCTTGAAGCTGAGGGCATTTTCAAAAGTTAGTGAAGTGTTCGGTGAGAACAATAATGATCGGAATTTAAGTAATCGTTGTATTCCTGTATAATTGTATGTGTTGCCTGCTTCGGAACATTTAGTCGATTTCAGAAGTAATGAAGATGAACATAGACCAGAAAACACCAGAAAAACCGTACTCGTCTTTGATGTTCTTTAGTGTTCACAAAAAAAGGATAAAGATCTCGACGTTGATCAGTCCCTGAGGGATGCACCATCCATTCGACTCCATCAAGCACCGTTTGGAGGTGTTTGAATGCATACCTGGCCTTTACAATGACTCGCGGTGGCCTACCGATGTATCGGGCCAGTGCTACTATCCTCCCAGACAAGTCTGCTACCAGTCTGCCAACCCCGGAGGGATGGAAGCCTAGGTGGGCCATGGGCGCAGGAATCGATCCCATGTGTATTGCAGGGCGCCTCCGACCACTGCGCCACACGTGCCTTTATTGTAGTGTTCACAAAAGAACGTCAAGTTATTTGTATAAGGTAGGAACGGAAGACACCTTCCATGTGTAGTTTGTTTTAATGGAAAAACCATTATGAGACTTTAGGATCTGAAGGCACTACGTGCTGTGCAACGTCGTGACTATGAGTTCGTCAATAGCCATCGCAGTTGTCTTCGAAGAACTTCTGTACTGCTTCGTGTGCGTGCTGAAGAACACGGATTCATCATCGACGTCTACAAAGCGCAATTTTCACTTGATAAACCAAGGTGAGCCCCTACATTTTGGTTGATGGTAACTTTATTGTCACCGAAACTGATTCTCCAATAGAAATGAATCACAATGTCTAACTCTTCACTAAATATCTATTATTTTCCCTCATAGGGTACTATGCGAAATACAACAACAGCGGTGCTGAGATATTTACGCAAATCTTGGGACTCCAGCTCAGCGTCAAACCAGCGATCACCATGCATGCGGGCTCACCTGTTATCTGTTGCACCAACCGAAACCCTTGCTTTGCGTTTCTCTCCGCCATATTTTAACTCTTTTCGGTGCTGTCAGCAATCACCCGTCAACGGGAATGATCTGGGGAGCACAAATCGGCATTGGATCCAGTTAAGTTGAAGTCGCAGTCAAAATCATAGTGTTTAACTTTTTATTTACTGCCTTGCTGCCTTACGTGCTGAAGTGAATCATTAGAAGGATGGTGCACGATGTCAACATCATTATATATTAATTCACTGAATATGGATTGACAAAAAGAATTAGAGTGGTTTTTTTTTCAGACGATTCGCAATAATCTCGTCGGAGTTGGACGAGTTGTATCGTTTCAAAGAGTTAGCCGTTAAAGGTTTGATTCTCGAATGTGCGCCGGATGGCGACATGCCGTTACTGTTTCATGCGGCATGTCTTCTACCTGTCGACACTGAATGCTCGTTGACATTCAAATCGCTTTGCTTCACCGACTCCGACATCACACAAGTACTGATAATGCTTACACGAATCCGCTCAATACCGCTTCTGAAGGTGAACTATGTTTTTAGACATTTTAATGTATTAGTATCACTGTTTAGTTATTTTAATATTATTTATAATTTTATGGGATCGTTAGCTCACTTATTTTATATGACCGGTCATCACATCTACTGAACGGATTCCTGCACTTCTTAGCCTCGATTCGTTTTCCCCGAATTTATCCTCGACCATGGTCTTTGAGCATTTTGCGCGCTTTTTGGGTGATACTTGAGGATTTCATCTTCTTCATGGATGTCGTTAAAAGCTGGTCGAGTCAATTCTTCTTGCAATCTTCGGGGTAAGGAGTTCCCAAGTGGACTGAAGGAGAACAACGGGGAGGGGTCGTTCTGGCGTCTTTGCATCCTGGTTTACGGCATCGCTAATCATTGCGCTTCCCACTCCTCATCATCGCTTATAAAGCCAACAATCATTTCTCTTATCTGGCTTTCGTTGACCCTTTTGATACATCTCCAATCATTTACCATTAGGTTATTGAATGCACTGTTATCGGACAACCTCTTTCTCTCCGTTAAACAAGCCATCTAGATATGAGCACTGTCAGAAACGACGCTTAATGTGAAATGTTAAAATTACGAACGTTTTTCCATGTTTACATCGTTGTCTATGTTCTCAAATCCATTTGTCGCTGCCATTTGCTGCGATCAATAGTGAGAATCTTTTCAACCTCAAATGTTGTGCCGACGTCATTCTTTGTCATCTGCACAAATCCATTGACGTACGTCATCCAGGTGTTCGTGTAAAAGAGAGTGAGATTTAAAGTAAGAAAAAGGGATAAAAGCGAGGGAAAGGAGGAAATAAGCAGATAGGAAGATAGAAGAAGGAAAAGGGAAAGAAAAGAGGAGGACGAATAGAGCGAGAGAAAGGTGGAATGGAAAGAAGGAAAGGGAGAAGAGGGGAGAAACGATGAATGAGAGGAATAGTGAAAACGGGGGACAAAAGAGAACGGCGAAAAAAAGATAGAGGAGGGAGAGACAGGAAGGATAATAATGGAAAGATTGAGTGAGAAGAGAGAAGGGAAGGGAAGCAGAGGAGGCTAAAAATAGAGAAAAAATTACTGGCTAGACAGAATGAGAGAAAAGCAGAAGAAGAGAGTGTTAGTGAGCGAGAGAGAGAGAAGGAGAGGGGGAAAAAGAAGACAAAACGGGGAAGAAAGAATGTGAAGGGTTTTTGGACCTTGTTGGGTACAGATGGTCAGGCAAAGCCGCTTTTCCTTGGAGTAACAGAAATTTCCCACGACATTATCTTTGGCTATAGAAATGATGTAAAACTACCGTAATTGATTCATTCATGCAGAAACAACTTTGTTGTTCAAGCCAAAATTAATAGGATTTCGGTCCTAGACAATAGATTCGTAAAGGCTTTTGGTTTCTTGAAGCCCTTTGCTTTGATTCCTCCAACTTTTTTCTACAAAACTTTTTACCGTCTTACAATATCGGTATTTCTTTCCACTAACATGGAGTGAATACTTACAGCAAACAAGAGCAGCCCTAACATTAAGGGCTGATAGAGTTCGGATTTGAAGTCGAAGTACTTTCTAGATGAGAAATTTCCCTAGGTGGGGAAAAAGTGGGAAAGAAGTATACTTCCCAACGGTTTACCGCCTCATCGAGGCTGGAAGGTGTTCCAGGGCGTCCGATTGCAGTGTACAGCGGAGGATTCATTCCTCCACCAGGGTGTCCCAAGCTGAGAAGGAGTCCGGTTTTTTCATCAGGAAGCCTAGCTAAGAGTAAACAAATACCAGGATTCACCACCGTCCTGGTATCAAAGTCGCTGGGTGGCAAATCTCTCCGGCGACTGTCTGTGGTGGTGACGACGGCTTGAGGCAGACCTTGGCCAAGCTGGCCTCGGGGCTCCTGTATCAACTGTAATCCCGTTGTTCGTCGAGTGACTCGAGCGGGAGGCCGGTAAATCTTCAATTTTTCCCTGTCGCATGCAAGAGTAGCCCAGTGGGTTTTGCTCGCTTTAGAGACTCGTCGAGCATCACATCTTTCTTCTACGTTCTTCGTGAAGAGTTCTGCCCATCGGGTCGGTTGTTTTCCTGCAGTGCGTTTAGCATCCCGAGGAATCCACTCACTGATGGCTCTTGTCCATCGGTTGTCATTCATACGCATTAAGTGTCCGGCCCACCTTATCTTCGACTGTTTGGCGTACAGAACGGCATCTTTGATTTTTGATCGTTGACGCAGATCGGAGCTTCGGATCCCATCCCTTACTTGTGCGCAACGGGAAACTCCTAGTATCGCTCTTTCGACTGCACGTTCAATAACGCTGAGTGATCTTTCATACTGCTTACGCAGCGACCAGGTTTCTGACGCATATGTTAGGGCAGAAAGCACCGCTGAGGTGGGCACGGAGTCGTGTGTTCTTTGTTCTCTTTACTACATCCTCGATACTCTTGAAAACCTCCCAAGCTCCTCGTTTCCTTTTGTTCGGCTCTGGAGCTAGGTCGTTCGTCATATTGATTTCCCGACCTAAATTTGATATAACTGGAGCATTCGGAGATATTCGTTCCGCTGAACGTGAATGGGGCATGCGAAACCAATCCGTTTTTCATGAACATCCTTTTTGTGAGATTTAGTCGAAGGCAAATTTTTCCACAGGTTTTATCAAAGTCGTCAAGCATACGTTCCGCTTGGCTAATGTTTGTTGTTATAAGGACGATGTCATCAGCAAAGCGAAGATGGTGTAACTGCCGATCGTCGATTTTCACTCCCATATTATCCCTTTCTAATGTTCGGATGACGTTCTGTAGGATGGCAGTAAACAATTTTGGCGAGATAGAATCGCCTTGCCTAACTCCTCCTTTTACATCAATGTTAATATCGTTGTAGGATGGTGATATCTTGGTTGTGAAATTCTTGTATAGCTCACGAAGAATTCTTATGCACTGAGTTGGGACTCCTTGACTATCAAGGGCTTCCAAGACCTCTTCTATCTCAACTGAATCGAAGGCCTTCTGTAAATCGATGAAAATGAGACAGAGCGGTCTTTTGCACTCTCGCGATACTTCAATGAGCCATGTTACCGTGTAGATGTGGTCAATCGTACTAAATCTCTGCTCACATTGCTGTCCTTCGTCTAATGTTCTGTCTATCCTGTTCAGGATGACTCGAGTGAAATGTTTGTAGACGACAGACAATGGGCAGATTGGTGATAGTTGCCGATATTGTGCAGGTCATCCTTCTTGGACAATAACACGGCATTGCCGGTCCTCCACTGAGTAGGGACCTCGCATTCAGACAGCTAACGTGTGAAAAGCTGAGCCAGTGTGTTTACGACGACTGGTAGAAGGTTCTTCAGGTGTTCTGGTCTTACTCTCTCCGGACCTGGCGCTGTTCGATTTTTCACCAACGAAATGGCATGTCGGATTTCGGAAGGGAGAACCGGTGGAGCAATATGTCCATCCTCCTTTATTTCATATGACGGAAGGTGGACGTGGCTATCGAAGAGATCTGAGTAGTATTCGTGAATGATTTTCTCCATTGCCTTTCTGGACGCTATAACTGTCCCGTCTGGGCGTCGGAGTGCAATCATCTTGGTCTTGTAATTGGCGTAGCATTGGTGGGCTTTGCGAATGCTTTTCCCAGTCTCTGCAGCTTCGACCATTACTGCTGATCTTATCTCTTTAAGATCTTCTTTTATTGCCTGTCTGCATTGTTTTGCAAGCTTGGACATTAGTTCGCCGTTGCCTGCAGCTCGTGCGATTCCACGCTGGCGTATTAGCTCGAGTGTTTCTGGAGGCAAACGTCTCTTGGTGACTTTCGAACTCTGAGCTTTCATAGCACTAACGTGAAGATGTTAAATGAGCGGATTGTATTCTTCGTCGATTTTATCGACAACGGCATCTTTCCAACAGCCGACTAATGAATTGAATAAATCCCAGTTTGCGGTGATTCTGCGACCTCGGTTTTGGAATTTAGCGGCTTTTTCTCCTTCCGCGAGAAATAGAATCTTGCACGAAGGAGACTACGGTCTGGTCCCGGGTAGAATTTTGGGACAACAGCGACATCGGTTAGGCGAAACTTTCTATTTACTACGATGAAATCTATTTCGTTATGGGACTCTCCATTGGGAGGCTCCCACATCCAGCGCTGAGGGTGGTGTTTCTGGAATTGCAAGTTACCACAGATTGTCTTGGTCGCCATGATAAATGCAGACAGCCGCTCACCCTGTTCGTTCCATTCTAATCCGTATTTCCCATTGTGACGTTATTCAGACGTTCTTCTTGGTCCAATCTTGGCGTTGAAATCTCCAATGATGACCTTGAAGAATGTGTGGTCATTCCTGTAGAACTTCTCCAAGTCAATATAGAACTCTTCGACTTTTTCTTCGTCATAGTTTGGTATCGGTGCGTAAACGACGAAGATTGTCAAAGCCGGAATTGATCCACGTCTTTTTAATCGTAAACGTCCGATTCGGGATCGATGTTGTTCGAATGAATCGATGTTCATGGACAAACCCGTGTTGACGAGAACGCCGACACCGCCGACTCCTCTGCTGTAGCATGTTCCGAGGAACAGTTCTTCTCCGGTGTCATAGACGGAGTTGAAAGGCTAGCGTGTTCTCGTCTTGGCCAGGCCGATGACTTCGTACTTTATCCTTCCTGCCTGCATGAGCAAGTCTTCTATCGAGGACTCGGATGGAAGTGTACGTGCATTTTAGGTACAGATCGTCTTCATAGTTTTTTGAAATCTAGGCTGCGTCCATTGGCCCTGAGATTTTAGCAGCCTTTCCGTACTTGTCCTACCTGACGCTGCGAAATTGGCGCTCTTTCGGGGTCAGAGGAATGAGGCCGGTTTTTTTTTTTTACTGAGTTTATCATTTTTGTTACCCACGTATAGCTTGCTGGACTGTGAACGTGTGGGTTGGATTTACTCACGGGTGTCTTGCCAGGCTTTCCCAGAGTGAACATTGAGCTTATTTGTTGGAGGCGACTCCTAACCGTCTCCTATATACTTCCCAGTCACTTGATTGCATGCTTTTCGCTGAATTGATTTGTAGAATACAATCCGCATGAGTAAGAACGCACCCACACACGCATGCATGAGCACGCCCAGCAAATACAGAAAGCACGTGCCAAATCAGAGCAGCAGAAACAGGGAGTCCATCCCCTGGATCCACCTGCGTCTCAGGGAAGCAAACGTCGCTCTTTGTCCGCGATTAACCCGCTATCCGCCACCTGGGGACGCGCCACGTAATCTCGCTACTAACCGGCTCGAGTTCATTCATATGAGGGAGTTTCGGCGCTCCAGAGAAACCAAATAGCTAAATCAGCAAAATACCAAAAAATGGATATTATGTTCAACGGTTATAGGCAAGCTGTTATATGCTGGTGCCCGCACAACCAGTGAGGGCGGGCCATTCAAGTATTCGAGTAGGTATAAATGACACTGGATTTGAGCTGTACAACATTGAAGCATTTCTCCATCATAAGTCTGCAACTGCTGACCAATCATGGAAGCCACAAAGGTTGATCATTCAGATCTGACGATTTGTCACCAAATTCTTCATTGATATGTTCCTCTGCACTGGAGAGGGCTTCCTGGTATACCGACATTCGAAAAGTGTAGTTCGTGTTTGTTAGCAGGTGTGGAGTTATTTGAACCATTACACACTTTTACATGAAAGAGTACAATTGTATTTCTCATTGATGAAAATGTAACAACGATGTAGCACCACCATTTCACTTGTAGTCACATCCGGACGTTCGTTCTTCCAGTAGGTGTTACAGCAGTCGTCTGCGGATGTACACCAGTTTCACTAGCATTGATTCTTGAGAATCACGGAAACCCTTTCATGGTGCCTTAGTCTAACGCGTGAATAATATGTGCAAATGCAACGGTAATAAGCAAGCTGCTAGTGAATTGTTTTAGTGCTTAAATGGGAACCTTCTGGAATGTTCTACAACGTGTCCGTATATACCATATCTAGGAGTTGTTTGAAAATAAGAAAAAGAAACTTCTTAAGCTAGCTTGTTCCTTGTACTAAGAGTTCAGTAGTAGGAAATCAAAACCAAGCGAGGTTAAAGGAAAGCTAGCAAAAACAAATGCCTTCCAAGAGTCAGAAAGGACGAAGATTTGTCGGGAATTGAGCAGCCTAAATTTTTCCGAGAGCCAGACACTCCTCACTATTCTGTTCATATTTTAGCCAATCATTTGTATTCTTTCACTGTTTGCCCCTTTCTGTTTCAGCTCAAGGAATGCGTATTTCCCGCAGATTCAGTGGCACGTTTCTTTTTGAGTTCACAGGTTGCGTCCCGATCGTTTCGGATCGAGGATGATCAGTGCTTCACGAAAGGGTGCGACAAACGCTGTAAAAGTTTTGTAAGCATGTTTTCTACATCAATGCAAAATTTTTGCCATTTTAAGGAACGTACGAACATCGAATGATGTCGGCGACGAACTACTAAGCATTTTTCTATTATCTGATTGCGATGCTATCAGCCTTTCTACCGTCGAAGAGGTGTCGTTTCGTGGTCTCGTCAACTTTATACGTGTGAGTTCAGAAACATTCTTTTTTTATTCTTTTTGATATTCAAAGAACTTCAAAGTAGTATAGCGTGAGCGATAGGATCGCTGTGCATAATGTGCACGTCGGTCAACCCCTTACGAACGCGCCATGCACCCGATTCCATTCGTAACGTCGTGAAGTTGACTGGTTACATATTCAGTTTGTAGACTGAATTGCTGGATCTGTCAATCTATCAAGGGCGTGTTTTTATCCTCACTGATGGTTTTAGAAACAATCTACTAACCCTTAATGGATGGTGGACTTAACTAACCTTGGGTACTGGATCGAACCATATGTGCACTTTAAGGCACCCATAACTACTGCGCTGAATACTTGCCTTGTTGCATATATTCGCGTTAAGTCTGTGCTTTCTAGGCATGGCGCCGTAATCCCCGACAATTTTCACTTGCAACATTCGTACGATCGGACCGTTTCGACAGTGAATCACAATTTGACATTCTACCTACTACCATCTATCCAATTTGCAAATCTGATCTGGTGCTCCGTGCACAACTCGAAGGCGTGAGTGCTTTTCTCAGTTGTAACTCGCCATAGATGTGACTCTATGAATGTTAGCAATTGTGTTAGTGTGCCAAACCCAAGTACTAAGAATAGTCCTACCAAATGTCAGCTCCAGCTCGTTGTATCATTTCACGGTGTCAACACTGCGTCTTTATTACTTATGAAAGCGCAGAGTACCAAAGATATTTTTCATCCATTCCGATGATTGGATTTCTACCATGGATTTGTGTTTAATGTTGGTCATTCACGGATGAAAAGGATAGAGTTCTCAGCGTTGATGAATCCCTGAAGGATGCGCTATGCATTCGATTTCATTAAGCATCGTTTGAAGGTGATCGAATGCACATCTGGCCTTTACAATGACTCACGGTGGCCTACCGATGGGTTTGGTACCAGTTTGCTGACCCCAAAGGGATGGAGGGCTTGGTGGGCCATGGGCGTGGCGAAGATTCCACGTGCGCATTGCAGGGCACCTGCGACCACTGGTCCATACGCACCTTTTATATCCGTATCCGCATCTGTCATTCATGGATAACTTGAGTTAATTAAAGAACTGTAGCTTTTTCATCACAGAGTGGTTCGGATGGCAGCAGTAGTCCTCATACAACCCTTTATCGAATCTGAACTACCCATTCTTCACTTTTTGTATGAGGTTCTTTATTTTTATTGTTTTTAGAGAGGGGATACCCATGGGTAGCTGCCAAGCGGTTTCTCAGAGGAGGAGACTAGTTTTGTTGTCCTCTCGAAATCAACGTGTGAATTCCTTCTTAGAAGAGACTTCGTAGCAACACCCATACACTTTGAAATAGTTGATAATAGGTTCTTTGGTAAAATCGACATGCAAGATAATTAGAGACAGTGGGAAGAAGCAGCCAATCCTCTGAATACACGTGCGTGTCTCTCGTTACTTCGCAACGCGGCACGTAGGCTGTCCACTTGACCCTCTGAATTCTTGCTTGAAAAGTTTGAAAAGTCTGATACTACTCAGTGCTGTTTTGAAACCTAGAATGTAACCGCTTATCTTCGGGCTCCCTGGGATGTCTCTCATATGAGGGATCTCGAGTAGGTTAGCCGCGAGGCTACGTGGCCCGTCTCCGGGTGGCGCATAGGGGATTAATCGCGGACTAAAAGCGATCTTTGCTTTTCTGAGATGCGAATGGATCCAAGGATCAGGCTACCTGTTTCTGCTGCGTCGATTTGGCACAAACTTTTTGTATTTACGAGACGTGTTCATGCATGCGTGCGTGGATGTGCTTTGGTTTATGCGCTTTATATTCCACGAGTCATTTCCGACAGAAACCTGCAATCAGGTGGCAGGGAAGTATATGAGAGGCGGTTAGGAGTCGTCTCCATCAAATAAGCTCGGCTAAGAATACGATTGGCGCATTCAACATCTTCACGTTAGACTGAGAGTTCGGAATTCACCAAAAGGCATTTGTCTCCAGGAACACTTAAGCTGACACGCCAGCGAGGAATCGCACGAGCTGCAAGCAAACACCAACTCACGTCCGAATTTGCAAAGTAGTGCAAACAAGCTATAAAAGAGGATGTTAAAGAGAGAAGACGAGCACATACGGTCGAAGTTGGAGAAGCTGGGAAAAGCATTCGCAAAGCCCACCGATGTTTCGCCATTTACAAGACCAAGATAATTGCACTTCGACGCCCAGACGGAACATTTACAGCGTCGATAAAGACTGTGGAGAAAATCATCCACGAATACTATTCAGATCTCTTCAATAACCGCGTCCTTCTTTTCTCATATCAAATAAAGGAGAATGGATGTTTCGTACCACCGGTTCTCCATTCTGAAATCCCACACGTTATTTCGTTGTTCAACAATCGGATAACACTACGTCTGAACAGGATATGATGTTAACATCTGAAGAACCTTCCGCCAGTCCTCGCAAACACACTGGCTCAGCACTTCGCACTTTAGCTGTCTGAATACGAGGTCCATACTAAATGGAGACCAACAAGACTGTGCTTGTTCGAGAAGAGTGACTTCCACGATATCACCAACTGGCCCCCAAACTGCATGCTGGCTGTCGTCTACAAACTTTTCACTCCAGTCGTCATAAACAGAATTGCTAGAACACTGGATAAAGGACAACCATGTGAGTGAGCAGAATTTCAAAAAGGATTCAGTTATCGCCTCGCCAAAATTATCTACCGCCATCCGAACATCATACAAACGTTGGAATGGGCCATTATGGAAGTGAAAATCGATGATCGACAATAATACCATCTTCGCTTTGCTGAAGACATCGTCCTTATAACACCAAACATTAGCCAAAGGGAACGAATGCTTGCCGATTTTGTTAAAACCTGTGGAAAGACAGGTCATCGACTAAATTTCACAAAAACGATGTTTATGAGGAACCAATTGGTTACGTACGCCGATTCGCGCTCAAGGGAATGAATATTTCCAAATGCTCCAGTTACGGTTATCTAGGTCGGGAAATCAACATGATGGACGACTTAGCTCTGACGTTGAGCAGACGGAGACGAGCGGCTTGGGAACCTTTCAAGAGTATCGAATATGTGGTGAAGAGAACAAAGGACACCCGATTCCGTGCTTACCTTTTCGACTTCACGATGCTACCTTCCCTATCGCATTCGTCGCAAACCTGGTCGCTGTGTAAGTAGGATGAAAAGCAGTCAGCGTTAGGAAGCATGAAAAAGCGCGAAAGGAAGATGCTAGGAGTATCCTGTGTTACACAGGTAAGGGAAGGGATCCGAAGCTTCGATCCGCGCCAGAGACCAGAGACCAAAAATCAAAGACGCGGTTCTTCATGCCCAATCGGGCAACTCCTGCACGCGACAGAGAAAAGTGGAAGATTTACTGGCGCCCGCTCGAGTTGCTCGATGATCAACGGGACTACAGGCGATACAGATAATCTTCGGGCTGTTGTAGTGGTACAGCGATTAGAGATATTCTACAATGGACACGTGGTTGTAGTTTTAACACCCAACCTCCCTATCTCCCTGAATCGGTAAACCGCTACGAGACTTATTGTGGGAAAGCCTTTCATTCATAATAGCTGCGAACTGCACATGGCGAAGACCTGGGACCTTCAGCCAACAACATTGACACTGATTAACACGATCTCAACAAGCACGCGAAATTTAACCTTCTTGATGGAAATTTTGTAGTTTTTGTGAAATTTTTCATTTCCACTCTATTTGATGTTATTTTAAGCGTCATCAAGTTCGTCTCATTACCGAACGCTTGACGAGCGACTGCTAGTATATCAATTCTCCAGTGTCGACATCATTTACGATTCGAATAGATATATGGAGATGTGGAGATATGGAGACGTGTGATTCGGGAAGTAATGGCAAGATCGCTGAACGATATGGTCACCAAAAAATTGTACTGCCCAAATCGAGTGGAAGACTAGCGCTTCGAATTCCACGATTCCCGAACAGTTAAAACTGCTGTGGTTAAAGTAGAGCAGCTTCTTAACAAAACCCTTCCTGGCCTAGCGTAGGTGCTGAGGTGAAATCCGCCGTTATCTTCTGGATCATCTCCATGCATACACAGCGTCGTAGATATTTAGTTTTTTTTTCACATCAGTATTGAGCGAAAAGGTTTTTGCTGCCCTCATCGTTTAGACTTTTTTTTGTTAATAGTCATATGCTCATCTAAACCGTCGTTCACTCTGTCTCTTCCGGCTTTCTTATGATTTTTGCTTTTTTTTCTTAAATCACACACGAGCACGATCGATCCAGTAGATGTTCACATGACAGTCTGTAAGCTGACGCTAAAATCGCGTTTAAAAAAGCTGATTTTTCAGCCTGAATCTCCAATCAGATAGTCCACTGATTCAAAAACGTGACAGTCGTCCGTAAGGACTTGCAATCTATCATATTATTTTGATTCGTTGCCTTTTAATGGCCGGTTGTCTCCGGATGATCTCATCATCTCAGTTCTTCCTGGTTGCCAATATTTGTATTCTCCTTCATTTTGATATAGTCTTATCAACCTGCGTTATAATACTAATTTTACCGTTTTCCTACTTTATTTTTAAGGCCTGTTAATAACAACTTCAGACCTCCAAGTTCTTTAACATTTCCATCACAAGATGAAAAATAGTACCATAAGCAAACGCGTGTGCAGCCAAGTGATTAGAGATGCACTGAGAGATGATTAGAGATTCTGCATACACATGGTCGTTAGATCGATCTCACGCATTTGACGAAATAAACGTTCCGTTTCACTGGAGTCGAGATATTGGTACTAAACCTGTTCAGCAGTCTCCTATATGTCGTAGTACAGGCTAAATATGCACTCAACTTTACGGTACTTAGTGGAATCGAGAGGTCGTAGCACTTTGCTACGAAATTGGTCAACGGTGAACCGTTCATCACTCTCTTCACCATTATGAGAAACCTTTACCACGAGTCAACTTATTAAACACTACGCGATTTCAAGAGGTGGGAGCAAGGGTCGTCCTCGTCTTCTCCATATGCCATCATGTTTGCCATAAGTGTTATAGTCTCAAGGGGAGAGGAAGATTATCATATTTTCCACTTCCTGAAGGTACTTATCAATAAATCCGATCGACAACTCGGTGTGGCATTTTCGTGCGAAACGAAAGTTGTTGGATAAAGGTTTCTTCTTGTCCAAGGGCCGTCGTGGAGCTTTTGCTGCTCAGAAATAAGTAAGGCTACAGTATTCACCGTAAGACCCAAGCAGCAGGTGTTCATTTTTTACCGTTCTTTCCTCGTTCTTGACTTGTCAAGCGTCTCATTTCAACAGTGGTAATGGTAGATGTATAAAAAATATTGGAATTTTCACTCAAACGTTTACAATATGAATTTTTACATAATATTTGTGGTTGAAAATTGACGTGTTCGATGATCCTTTGCGGCGCTACGAGATCGCATCGTCCGTGACTTCTCGTGACGGAACGATTCGATTACCACCTTCACCCATCATCTGAAACCTTTCACATATTCGAAATATAGCAAAGAGCTCATGTAAGAAAAACAAATTGGTGAAAATAGAAAGCCAATCACCATTTCTTCATGTTAACAAGAAGGAAGATGATTAGCTGACTTTTTAGCGTTACTACGTTGCGGAAACTACAGTAGAATTAATGCCAAGAGTCAAATCTTAATCCCCCCTCGATTGATACCCATCATTTGTACTTGTGCCATTTCCTATGAAAGAATAGAGAGAAAATAGGAATTTCTTCAGCGCACGTGGGTTAGCGTTAAATTCGAACCAGGGAATCCTTAAGAGAATAGAAACAGTCCCGACATACGCTCATTTTTGAAAAAATTGTTCATACCACATGTTACTATGAATTAACCGTCTGTGTGAAACACAAAACTGCGTATTTGCCCTTAACGCAGGGAGGGTGACTGCATGAGTACAGGTACGATGTACCTGATTTGTGGTACATGCGGTGACGAATATATTGGCGGAATGGGCAGACCAATACGTATCCGTACAAAAGATCACCTAGATGGTAAGCAAAAAGTAAGACAAGGCAAGCCACTATGCACGCATAGGATATAAAAGCATAGCGGAGAGGATTTTGATATATAGGTCACGATCTTCGCACAGTGTACCAACGCGCAAACTTTTTGGATAAACCCGAAGAACTTCAGAATGAGTATCTGGGAAGAATGCCCAGAGATCACATGTGATTTAGCCCATACCTTTACATCGATTTCTGATGTGTGGTAGTGCAGTTATCAACTTCTATGCGACTCTAATCAGCGGTTCCATCTCAGTGGAAGGCACGTAAAAAACACTGGGTTCTTCGAGAAACTGTTGAATGTACGATTGCCATTTAGATTTCTAACTTGCCGTCTGTGTCACTGGATCGTTTGGCCCCTTGCCTATCATTGTACCCTTCTAGGCTTAGAAGAAGGTGATATTGCCAAGACATCAGCTACTGTTGTATTGTATTGTGTTTTTGCACGGAAGTACATGTATGGTGAATAGCAACATCGCAATTGCTGAACAAGAAAGCGACGTGTTTATAATCCAATGCCGAGGTTAATAGAAAGTTGATCCTGGGAACAATCCTTTATTTTTCAAGTGTTTTTCTGATTTCTCTAAGCAGATTTTGAATTCTTAAAAATTGTGTTCGCATTGAGCATTTTCAAAATGAGGAAAATGATTTTATTAATGAAGAAAAAATGAAAGAAGAAAGAAGGAGCAGTGTTGGTGGACTTTGTAGACTGAGGATTTCATGTAAAAGCTGAAAAAATGCGGCAGCTGCGACAGTGATGTCCAATCTGCCCGAGACACACGGCTGCATCACCTACGTTCAGTCATACCTTCAGTGATATGCGAAGAGTGTCCGGCCTAACGCCGTTTTTATCAGCCTCCTTAAAAAACTCTTTGCAGTCTTCGACATCTTTGTCACACGGTAAAAACTGCAGAATTAACTTATCGGCACGCACTGGTCCTAAAAAGTTGGATGATTAATGAAAAAAAAATGTTTTCGATGCTGACGAGTAACCGCTGCATTTTCTTTCTCAAACTGGAAAAAAGTGCCACCGTGTGGCGCTGAAAAATGGTGAAACAGTGAAAATGGTGAAACAGAAAGAAAGAGAGAAAATTGGTTGCACTTTTCTTCTCCCATTGGTCAAGACTTTCGGGTTACCATCTCCTATTACTTACTTGGATACTCGGATAGTCCATTCTCACTGGTTGTGCGGACCTCAGCATATTCTCCACTTTTCGGTGTTTTGCTGATTTAGCTATTTTGTTCTTCTGGAGCCCCGAGGTCGGCCTGGCCAAAGTCTGCCCCTGGTCGTCAACACCACAGGCAGCCGCCGTCCTTGTGGATCAGAGGGGGATTTGCCACCAAGCGACTATTTGATAACAGGACGTGGTTCCGGGTAGAAAGTCGGACCCATTCTCAGCCTGGGAAACCCTCCCCGTTGGATGAATCCCCACTCCTCCTTCCCGCTGTATATCACAGCCCGACACCCTGGAACACCTCCCAGCCACGATGGCAAACCGCTAAGTGGACCATCTCCCATTGGTCTAACCAATCAACTCAGACAGTTTAGCAAGATTTTATTTCAAAAACTATCCTGTCCAGTTTTATCCTTTCTCATTTTCATGTAAAACGCAGATTATTGCAGGCTTTCACCTGTTTTTTACTCTATCTCTCGCAAATTTCTCTTCAACAACAAAAACTCTTGGATGAGCTGATATGAAATGGAAGCTGTTATTGCGTGCTCATCCAAACTTTTTTTTTTGCTTCTTTTTTTAAAAAATTAGACCAATTAAACCGACTCACCACCAAGGTTTCAATTAGTAACCGAAATGAGTTTGCTTTATTTTTCTGTATTTCTGAATATCTATGCCACAAATCGATTAAGTAGTTAAACTATTTGGCGTAGATAAGTCTTCCATATTAAATAATTCTGTGTACAGTCGGTTTCCTCCATCAGTACTAAGGGAGTTTTCCAACGTCTTGAACTACGATATTCATTTTCCGGGAGCTTCAATCAATTTCGTTGAGAAGGCCAGTCAACTTGGTTTGGCCTTTCAATAACGAAGCCTAGTTAGTAGTAAATATGCGCAAAAACTACCATATAGGCGGAAATCCAGTCATAAGGCGGTTAACCCTATTCCAATGCGCAAAGATCTGTGACTGTTTTTGATAGGAACGAAATGATGGGAATTTCTCGGGACTGCAAAGGCTTTATATTTCATAATAATGTAGCATCTAGGCAGAAGTCATGATGGGCAGGCATTGCTAAATGAGTTGCACGAACGGAACGGAAATATACGGAAATGCGCAGAGTGGACCATGTGCATTGACTTCATGCTGGTTTTGGCCCTTTTGCTATGGATTTTTCTATACATTTTGTACTCACTTGAAAATCTGTCTAGCACAGCTATTGGCATATAGATTAGATTAGGTCTTCGGATGCATAAGTAAATAAGTCTCATACCAGCAGATCTGATAACAGTAAGATTTTGACATTGTCCCGGTTCGATAAACATGGTATTAGGTGAAACACGATAAAGGTTATTGTTGCTGCATCGAATCTGAAATCTTAAAGCATCTTAGAATGTTTACTAGTCAAATTCTTCCTAGTAAAAGTTTCCCGATAGTCAACCTTCGCTTCGCTCCCAAAAAATTTCTGACCTAAAACAATGGCTAAATCATAACGACTTCAAAAAGGAGCTGTTCAGTAAGGTTCATCCTGAGCAAGGTCATCACAACCGAAACGAATGATCAATCGGCAGGCAGGGAAAATCATATCAATAGTGAGAACTAGATACCTTTGACGAGATCTGTCAACTACGGAAAGTGTTTAACGGAACAGCTGCATGTCGTACTAGTTCTTGAGTACAATATGTCAAGGATTCTAAACAGAAGAGAAGAACACTTGATAATTCGCCGTTTTCTTGTTCAGCAGTCGCGAGGTTTTTAAAACAGCATACATTTACTTTCATAGAGAAACGCAGTGCAGTACAACACTAGCTGACGATTCGGCAGTATCGCCTTCTTCAGAGCCTGGAAGGGTATACTGATATACAATCTACGAGGCCAAACGCTTCAGTAACACTTACAAAAATGCGATACTGCCGAAACGTCAGCTAGTGTTCTATTGTATCGTGTTTCTATATGGAAGTAAATGTATGCTGTTTAAAAACCTCGCAATTGCTGAACAAGAAAACGACGCATTCATATTCCAACGCCGAGGTTAATAGAAAGTCGATCCTGGGAACTATTACTTGGTAATTCGATGTACTTCATTTTTCTAGTTGTAGTAACGAAACGATTATGGTTGACATTTAACTTCATGCTTTGACAGGTGACCTCGGCAATTTTCATGTGATTGGGTGCCTTTCAAAAATTCTGTAAGAGGTTCAAGTTAGAGGACGGCTTCTATGCGAATACACTCGTTAATGGCTGATGTAAGACAATGAAATAAATGAGTGGAGTAATGGGACCTCTATGTGAAACCGAATCACGTAAATAAATAACAAAAGGATCAAACATATTTCAACAGCACCAGAACTATCATGATCCTAGGAAGAGACATTCTTTGGCATCAAAATAAATACGGTGTTATAGCCGTGGATGGTTCGTTTAATGGAACGATTCGGAATATGAACTACGTTAACTCAACAATAGTCAGTTTGACTTATGAAGAAAGGAAAACAATAATATCGCAGTATCAGTGAGGTTGGTGTATTTATAACACAGTATGATAATCATATCTGTCCTCTGTGCAGGCTGGAACTCCGTAAAGTCTTGGATCAGTACAGTCAACAAAGTGACCAATATGATGAACAAAGTCTTGCTTCTCCCCTGTCTCTTGGCAGAGGTTTCAGTGGACTCCGATCGAGTCAGGAAACACGAGAAGCATTACCTTTTTGGCGCGTTACCGTACCACCTTTATGTAACGCCCTTCAACCAGTCGAATCAAAGTTTTTTGTGGTTATATGCACATAGCACGAACTATGCACAAAGGTTGGTGCATTCACGACTGCATAAACAACCATTAATTATCCCATTTTACTCATTTACTTCTAGGATGCTTACTGGAATGAAATGAGTGCCGCATTCCTGGAGCATCGATTAAAGCCGAACGGTTCACAATTATATAAATAGAAGATGTGAGCCAATTCTATTTGGTGGAGAAGAGAAGTATTCTATCCATGTGAAACTGGGTGTACCATAGCCTTTGGTTTGGTCCGTATTCGCTATTTGTAGGTAGGTGATAGACATAGCCTCTTGAATAGCGGCGGACAAGGGATCTTTCATGTGAGGCGGCACATACTTGAAATAGGAAGCATGAAACCGAGAGCCAAAATAGGACAAAATTTGTAAATGGTGTTGGAGTGCGACGGGTTCATCTTAATGAAATTTTCTAACAAGCTATAGAGTATAAACAACTCTTGTATGCATTCAAAATTTCGGTACCTTCACTGCAAGGCGACTATCTCCAATGTTCACAAGCATATGATCGGATTTTCCACCGGTTACGTTGAAATAGGCACACTGGAGAACGAGAGATTACTACGAGGGGTTACCGCAGCAGTCATATTTTGATAAATACACCTTCTAGCTGACAACCTTCTAATTTTAACCGCTTAGATCATATTAAAGAATAATTTAGTATGTCTAGTGAACTCAAAGGGCGCGTGTGGGGCAGTCGTTGGAGGCACCACTGCTACACACACGTGGAATCGATCTCCGCGCCCATGGCCCACAAGCCTTCCATCCCTCTGGGGTACGCAAATTGGTAACGGACATATCTGGAAGGATAGCAGAACTGGCTCGATACATCGGTAGGCCACTGCGGGTCATTGTAAAGGCCAGATATGCATTAAATCACCTCCAGCGATAGTTAATGAAGTCGAATGCGTGGCGCATCCCTCAGAGATTGATCAACGCCGAGAGCTTTATCCTTACCCTTTAATGAAGTCAAGAAGAACGTCTAAAGGCAAAAATTTTAATTCAAAAAAGATGGTAACATAAAGCTGGCTATTTGCTGTCGTTTGCAGTACGAATCACAGCACCTTTGTTAAACTACGTTCGCTGAAGTGTCGTGGGAAACAATTTACAACGATTAAATCAACATATGAGCGAGGTTGCAGTTTCCGTGAAACTACTTCAATCTTTAGAAAACATGAAAATGTTCTACAAAAGAAAATTAGTTCGTTTCGATAGTGTCGAAAATTTCACTCAACACTGCAGCCAAGCACAAGCACTTCAGCATAAAACAACAAGCGGACAGATGTCACAAATGGCAAGACTCTTAAATGAAGGGAGGATTTCGATGTTCTTTTCAAATTCTGACTTTGTTTCCACAGTATGTCTTGTAATGGCCGAACTTAATGTGAAAACTCCAGATTGGATATGAATTTCTTGCGAAGATTCTATTTTAATATTCGAAAAAGGTAGATCGATTGGAACAAACGTTGAACACTCTAAAAGTGAAAAAATAATGAATTTTAACTTATTATTTACTGCCTACTCTTTTTAACGGCAGGGTATAACGGCATTTAACGGCATTGTGAAATATAACTTCAATGATGGTGAGATATTTGCAAAACTCCGGACCGCAGGTGTATGCGGTGGGGAACGAACGCGCTATTGTCCTTTCCGGGGAGTAAAAGGTTATATAACCGCGGCCTCAGCTTAACTGGGTTTGTTGCCGATTTGGACTCCCCAGATCAATCCCGCTGACAGGTGACTGCTGTTGGCAAAAGATCGATAGAACAAGCTGAGAGACAGGCGAAACGAAGGACCCGCGTGGTGTGGTGGTGAACGCGCTACTCCTCGGAAAGGACAATAGCGCGTTCGTTCCCCACCGCATACACCTGCTGTCCGGAGTTTTGCAAATATCTCAGCATCATTGAAAAAATAATGAATTTAAAATTAGGTTCTCTGTTGGAGCTATGTTTAGCGTTTGGTTTCAAACATACATCGGGATCCACTGAAAGTGCTTTTTCTGGTGTTAGTTTTTCGCTTGCTGATTCCATGACGATCCCTGAAGCAACAATTTATCAGGTAAAGTCGAAGTCGTCCGAAAACTCCTCATTTTAGTTCTGCTATTTCTCAGCTTATATTAAAGGAGAGAGATGGTCAAGTTGGGCTCAGAATAACTTTTCAGTTTTGGCGAACTTTAGTTATAAAATAGAATTAGCATGAAATTAGAGCTTTTGTTTTATTAAACTTCCACCGATCTTTCTCCTCGAACGTGGATCTCCCTCATAGGGGAATCTCATGATGATTGGTAGAGAAGCAACGCCGCTCGTTCACAGGTGGCGGATAAGGAGTTAATAGCTGACAAAAGTGACCTTCGCTTCCCTGAGATGCAGGTGTATCCAGGGGAGGGGCTCCATATTTTTGCTGCGCCGATTTGGCAAATACCTTTTGCATCTACGACGGCGGATTCATACACATGTGCGTGGATGTATCCTCGTTTATACGAATTGTGTCCAACGAGTCAATTTAGTCAAAAGTCTGCAACCAAGCAACAGAAGTATATGGGAGGTGCTCAGCAGCCGCCTCAAACAAATATGCTTTCCTTCCACGATGGGAGAGACTGGCAAGCTACCCGTGACCATGCTCAGAGCTCAGCAAGCTATGCGTGGGCATAGAGATTCCATGAGTTTCGGTCTTGTCTATAGTTCAAGTTTTGCGAATATCTCAACACTATAGTGGTTGTATTTCACATCATACGTTGTCATGAGAAATAATTACCGGTGGTAAATAAAAAGTTGCAGTTCACGGTATTAACTGTAAGTTATCGTACCGCCCAATGTTGGCAATCATTAGGATTTCGGGCAAAAGGGAGGTTCTATACACTATTTGAGAATGCCTATATGAAGCAACAGCTGCGTGAAAGAGAAGTTCAGATTGAAGGAAAGTGACCACCACGTCTGTGAATCCACTGCGTAGGGCTACTTGAATGGTACAACCAATTTTTTAAAAAAATCAAAGTTATTTTTTAATGGCTTTCATATTTTTTTTTGAATGGTGATGGTTATCTAACCCAGAAAAATAGCATCAGTCAACTGTTCTGAGAGCTCGAAACGAACGGTGAGCAAAAAGAAACGACTGCAATTGTACTGAGTTCAATCGTTCTGTCAGTTAGTTGAAGAATAGGTCTTTCTTTGAATAAACCCAAGTTTCGTGCGTAGTCTTGAAGATGCTCACCTTTGTTCAACCGACTTCACGCCGCTAAACAAATTATGAAATGATCCCACATCACTCCGATTTGGTCATGGATGTTTATTATCAGTTTTTGCACACTGTAAGACTCAATATCAACTATTCAAAGTTGTTTGTTCAATAGCTCTTTTCCTAGCTGGTCGAATTGGTGGTCAACCACAAAAATGTGCAAAAAGCTTCAATGAGTTTGTGCTCTAACAGATTTTTCTTTAGAAAGTTTAAAGCGCACTACGATAGTGAACTTTTGCGGATGTGTACCACGAACCACGGGTCATCAAACATTGCAGAGGTAATGTAATGAATATTTCATCTATATGTGACTTGTGAGGAGATATCAGTTTATTAAATCAGTGTTTCTACGCTCTCAGGAATGTCTGGCACCAATCTGCCGAACACGAAGGTATGGGAGGATACGTTTGACGGTCAGTGAATCAAGATAATGACCATGTGCATGACAGAGCATGGAGCTACATATTCTTCATTTTCCAGATTATTTAGAATTCTAAAAGCCAAAAAATGTCCTTACAAGGCAGCAATAATTGCTAACTAGCAGGGAATTCTGGATGGGCGTTGATTCCTTGGAAGCGGTCGATTCTGTTTCCCTTGTTGTATATAGGTTTAAACATGAATGTGCAAATAAACCATTAATTCTGCAACTATTCCACAGACCTTCTCCTTTTAAGAAACTTCAGACTGCTAATTAGCTAAAGATTAGAGTTTACAAATGGGTTCAGACAGAGATCGAAGACTTAATTGTAACAGGTTTTCGTGAAGTTACTCTACCATTTCAGATTTTTCCTCTTTAAAATTTTTCGTGTCTTTATTTCTTATGTTTTCTTTAGGGTGTACATATTTGGAAAGGCTACGATATGTTCCAAGTTTTCCTGAATGATATGAAAGGTGATAGCCTTAGAATTCTTTGAATAAGACGGCAGCTAAGACAAGCCGAAATTGTCGAATTGAGTTTACAGATGCAAGCTTGGGTTACTTCTTTATTAAAAAGATTGCAAGGATAAGAGCAACCATTGATCTTTTATCCTTATTTTATCCTAGATGACCCATTGCGATATGTCGCGCAGACTTTAGCACTTCTTTCATTCTGTTCATTGTCTTCTATCGGTCACATCAACTAAGGTCTTCAGATTTGCATGTGATTTCTACAGCAACTTCAGGATTTGTTTCTTCAACAATGTTGTGAGGTGCTGGTCGAATAGACTCTTTATAGAATCCTGAGATATATCCGCTAGGATATATACTACAGACCTCGGACTGTTCTACAGGTTGTCGATCGCCTCTGCGAACAGTAAAGAGTGTTTTCTAAATGACTCCGGTGCCAGTTAACCGACTACGGATTGATGAGCAGCCTGGTTGACTCAAGACTGGTTGAATCACCGCCTTGTTATGTATTGCATAACATCTTGAATACTGCGCTACAATGATGGAAAGTTGAAATTTTCGCTAAATAGACAAGAGGGTTAACATAAACGAGATAAGACAACTTAATATCTATATGTACTACTGAAACGGGTTTAGAACGAAAACGTGAAGTTGAAAACTGAAAGGAAAGTAATCTGGAAGCCACATCACCTAGTTAAACAGCATTCTTTGAACCGAATATTGTCTTACTTCAGCAAACAATCGGAAAGCTTTTAAAAAAATGTCGACACATATGTTTTTTTCAAAAGCGAAGGCCAATTGTAGTCACTATGATGTTGAGGTATTTGCAAAACTTGCAGCCCAGGCCAGGTGGAATCGCGAACACCTTTTCGGAGGTCTAACGTGTTACGCACGGCACTACTGAGTCCCATACTGCGATTTGCTCGGCCGCCAGTTTTCTAACTAACAGTAAATAAAAAGTCGATATTATGATTTTTGACTACAGCCTCAGCTTACATCCTCGTTGATTGGTGGTTATTGATGGCAATCTTCGGTTGAAATTGGTTGAGAGAAAGGCAGGAAAAGGGCCTCTGTGGTGACGTACGTGACACTTGAGCTACCGGAAAGGGTGATTGTGGTTCGATCTAAGCTGGAGCCAAGTTGTGCAAATATCTCAGCATCATAGTGGTTGTCTTTCACATCATACCCTGCGGTGAAAAATAATAATAAGCACTAAATAAAAAGTTGACATTAACTGCAATCAGTCTTCAACGTCAGTTCGACCGGTGGTTTCAAGCAGAGGCAGAGATCGCTGGCGGAGAAGTGTTATTGTTTCAAAATTTTCAGCAAATTTTCACTTTTTGGATCAATTTTTATTTTTATTTTTATGAATCATCAACAAAGTGGTTCTCACGAAAACGCCACACTAGAAGGACAACGGTACACAGGACTTGTTGTTTCCATTCACACTTCAAAACCAATGGTATGATTCTTATTCGGTGACGCTTTAGGATATTTTGATAAGTTCTGCGCTCTCCAGAATTCTGGTACATTCTCTTTAAGGTATTCTCAAGCTATTAACAAGGAAAAAATTGCTGACAATTTCGAATAAACAGCAGCTTTGTCGTCCCGCGACTAGTTTCCTTTCATAATAATGAAGATCCCTGGAGTGGGTGTGCTTCTAACTGAGTTTGCCGATGGACGTATTGAAATTCTTTTAGGCCTGGATGGTTTTGAAGAAAGGACAACTTTTCGTTATAAATCTCAACGATAAAATTTGATTAATACATGAGAATACAGACTTAGAAAATCAATTAAAACACATCAGAAATCAGTGAGAATATCCATGTGAACGTGCTGATGAGTAGATATGGAATCGTTGTGAAATTCTTATGAATTACTTGAAGGGATAGCTATTTAGTTCTTCGAGAATTAAAGACTTATGTAATAGTACTTGGATACTTGGATACTTGGACGGCCTGTCGTCACGTTATCCAAGCCCCAGCACATTGTCAATATATCGGAGTTTTGCTGGCTGAGACATTGTGGTTCCCTGGAGTCCCAAGGTCAGCCTAGGCAAAGTCTGACCAGGTCGTCACCACCATAGACAGTCTCTATCATTGTGGATTAGAGAGACGTTTGCCACCATGAAACTAGTTTGATACCGGGACGGTGCTAGATTCTGATATCGGTTTACTCTTAGTTGTGCTTCCTGATGGAAACGCCGGAGTCCTTCTCGGGATAAGGCGGTAAACCGCTAAGAGGAATTTTAGTAGTAATAACCAACAAATGTACTCAATAAAATTCACCAATAAAAACAACATAGCTTCCTATAAAAATTGTTTAACAATAAAAATCAACTGGGTGAAATATAACAACGTTATTGAGCCACACAATGATGATTAGACTTCAGTCGGTTTAGCAAATCTGAGCTATATCTGGTCAACTCATCCACAATGGCAATCTGTGAGAGCTAAGATCGATTTGATCTTTTGCAAAGGAGACACCCTAAAACAACCCAAGGATGAAGTATTGTGTGCGGTGTATAACAGATCCGTGATGAGAAAAAAAGACACTCGCACATCACCAAGGAAATTACTCTTCTAAATATTAGGCTTTGCGAAGGTGCTGACAATTTGTAGCATGCTCGTATAGGTGCCGGATGCAAAGCCGACAACGGCAAACATCATTAGGAAGATGTTGCGGATCCAAATCCACGGGGTCAACGAATTCCTGAAAAGTGAGCGCTGAATCATTTATACTCTTTTATCAGTTTATTTATTTGCCTGTTTTCTTCGTTTGAACCGTCTCCACATATGAATTGAGGCCCTTTCTTCCCCAGGTTTGTTGTTTTTCATCATTGAAGCCGTTTGGATTGACGTCTGCCTTCGGTTTCCACTTAAGAATTTCGTCTTCTTCGAAAATGTTTTTAGACGCCAGTTCAACGTGATTCTCGCTTTTCTTCCGGACTTGTCCTCTAGAGCGCTCCACAATTCTTTACAACAGGCAATCGCAGGCCTTTGTGGATGAAAGGGATGTTTAGCTAGATAGATCTAATTGCAATCTACATACCGCGGAAAGATACGGAGTAATTATAGCTGACTGAGATCAATCACTACCTTGTATACCGAACTTCTGGAAGTTCGCCATAGAGGACTCTTCGGGTTCGCTCTGACTTGCCCATTTGTCATTAGAACTTCTTACTACATAACCGACTAACCTCATTTGCTTTCGAAATGTATTCTAGTGATTTTTTAAAACATGATAATTTTCAGTATATGAACTATCTGGTCGGCCTAAGCACTGTGCCTACTCACTACATTCCATGAGAGTGCAATTGATCTGTCGCCGGTAGAAAGTTGTCTAAGTGACTGGAAATGGAAAACCTACACTGTCTTTCACCTTCTGCACAGTTCCTCAATTTTTCTATTTTTTTTTAATGGAACGTTCTACATAAACGATGTAGGGTGCGCCCACTGTAGCTCACTAACTACTCCCCATGATTTTTTCTATTGTTCTACGGCTTTTTTGTGAATACGGTCTTTCCCTCAGCGTTGTGTCTTTATAGTAAGAATTTTTTGGAAGAGTAGTATTTCATGGTGCAGCTGTGATGGCAGTCTGTTAGATTTCTGATGAAGGATGAGTACTGGTGAAATGATATCAGCTTCTGCTCTACATTCCGTCGTAGCCGACAAAACATAGAACGAGAAGCATTCGAGATTTTCGAAGATCCATTTAGCGGGATTTATGCCGGTGTCTTGCTCAGCAGAGTGAGTTGCATCTGAAGTTTTTACGAGAGAACAGGGACGGTTCTAGTCTTTATTTTATTTCAATAATCAATAGGATTATTTGAACAGCCCGTCGTCACTGGTTGTCCGAGTCCCAGCATAATCATCATTTTCCAGAGATTTGCTGGTTAAGCCATTGTGGCTCCCTGGAATCCCGAGCCCAGCCTGGCCAAAGTCTGCCCCATGTCTTCAGCACCACAGGCAGCCGCAGCCCTTGTGGATCAGAAGGAGATTTGCTACCATGCGACTTTGATACCAGGATGGTGGTGGATTTTGGCAATGGTTCACTCTTAGTTGGGCTTTCTGATGGAAAAGCCGGACTCCTTCTCGGCTTGAGGGACACTACTGGAGAAATCCTTCCGCTGTATATCGCAGCTCTACACCCAGGAACACCTCCTAGCCACGATGAGGCAGCAAAGCGTTGGGAGGATCAACAGAATTAGAAACAAAAGGATCCAGGAAGCTGGTTTAGTTTTAGAATTTCAATTATGCATGGTAATTTAGTAACATACTTGGAATAACAACAAAGCAGTTCAATTATTGGCGGAAATACCAACGTCAACGATGTACCAGCTACCGAACCGACTAGTGATATGAACAACGCCAAATGTGGTATCAATTCGGCCACGACACCTGTAAACATCAAGAAGCAGCTATGAAAAACTCTTCGCAAATAGGTTCGTATGAAAAAAGTTCATTGATTTCATAAAGACGTAGCCATGCCCATATTAGAGCATGAAAATCGATGCACATTTGAACGGTTAGAGGGCCTCAATGTCATTTCAGAGCAGTTTATGGATTAGAGGAAACTCAATCATTATCACACTACTGATCTTAGGCAGAGCTATTTGCCAATGAAAAAATCAATTGAGGTCCACACGAAATCGGGTGAATCTCATAAGTTTCCACGCCACGGATGTCTTATTATTCGGACGAGCTTACTTTTCCGCAAAGTCCTCACAATAACTGTTCCAGGCGTTGCCAGGTCGTCACCACAAGCAGTCAGCGACATTTTGTGGATTAAGAGATTCGCTGATTTATTCCAATTTGGCCAGATTTCTTTCATGGGTGAGGTGGTTTTGGCTCATACTGGCTTCCTGGATGTGGAAATATCCAGCTCCTTTGCAACAGGAGTGACCAGTTCAGTGAGGCCTTGAGGAAACTGGATTCCTGGGTACTGGACATAAATTACATTAAGCAGAGGTGAAGCAACAAGGCACCGATTGATATTCGGAACAATTTAAAGGACCGGGTGCAATATCGTATTCATGCAAACATCAACATATGCAAGTTGAGAAAAGGTTTAAAGACTTTTTTCTCTGAATTGGTGGAATTTTAGGAAATTTATTGTCGAGGTGTAGGTTTAGTATTTATGTCATTATATGACCATTTTGTACAACAAATAGTGAAAGATAAAGTGAGCCGGACACGATAAAGTGTAATGCGTATGAATGACAACCGATGGACAAGAGCCATCAGTGAGTGGATTCCTCGGGATGCTAAACGCACTGCAGGAAAACAGCCGACCCGATGGGCAGAACTCTTCACGAAGAACCTAGAAGAAAGATGTGATGCTCGACGAGTCTCTAAAGCGAGCGAAACCCACTGGGCTACTCTTGAACGCGACAGGGAATAAATGGAAGATTTACTGGCTCCTGCTCGAGTCACTCGACGATTAACGGGACTACAGTTGATACAGGTGATATGACTTCTATACCAGGTGACGATGATTCCGACTCCTGCAGGGTTTATTGTTCGGAAAAACAAGTCGTTATCAACGGACAATCGCTACTATCAATATCCGTCACTCTGCATAAAAAAGCATCTCTGGGTGAGTTTGGTTCACTCGAGAGAGATGTTTCACTGAGGAAGATGTGGCTCGATGTGCGACGAAGACGCCACCTCGAGAACACGAACAACTGTGGGCCAACGGTGCAGATCATCGGCTTTTGATGAAGACGAAACCGCGGAAACGTTAGCCGAATAAAAGACTATTTATCAACTCAGTGTAAGCTTATCAAAGAAAGATTACATATAAAGGCATTATGCTTTCACTACTTACAAGTGCAAAGAACTCCTAGCAAACGTATGCCATAGATGAGATTTTCTTGACGCTGAACAGCTACCTGAAAATCTTTCCGACAGGGATAAGGCAATAAATTCGTATATTACATGTTTTAAATAAATATTTCAAACATTTCTTTAATTAGAAATACATTAAGTTAAGCAGAACTTTAGAACTTTTCATGAAACTGAGGAATCCTTGAAAAAATACCTTTGAGCAATGTTCAAAGACTCGAACTACAATGCTAACTTTTAATTTGGTGCCTAGTGAAATTTTTCAAAACAAGGTATTATGTAAAATGGAACCGTTATGGCGCTGAGATATTTCCAAAACTCCGGACCGCAGGTGTCTACGGTGGAGAACGAACGCGTTACTACCTTTCACCGGGGGTTAATGCGCCCACGCCCTGCAAATCCTTCGTTTCGCCTGTCTCTCAGCTAGTAGTTCTATAGATCAGTGCCACCAGCAATCATCCGTCAACGGGATTGATCTGCGGAGCACAAGTCGGCATTGAATCCAGTTAAGCTAAGGCTATAGTTGAAAGCATAATGTTAACCTTTTATTTGATGCCTACGAGACAGGCGAAACGAACGATTCGCATGGTGTGGTGGTGAACGCGTTAGCCCCTGGAAATGGTAGCAATGCGTTCGTTCCCCACTACAGACACCTGCAGTCCGGAGTTTTGCACATATCTCAGCATCATTGCAGTTGCATTTCACATCGTACACTATCATGGAAAAAGGATGGGCAGTAAATAAAAAGTGATTACATAATAAAGTCTCTATTTGGAAATGTATGACTCTGTCTAACTGTAGCTCTACTTTTTATTTACCACCTCATCAATGTTTTATACTATGACTCAATTTTATTGATATCTTATTCGTTTATTTATATTTCCTCCTTCATTAATTATCCACAACGATGGCGTCACCTTTCGTTTAATCCATTTCTCGACGCGCTCCATCGGAACGTAGAATTGTAACGGATACGAGACGAGAATACAAGCGACGAACATCAGCTTGATTGTTTGGTAGAAGCTTAAACAAAAAAATTCACCTTTCAAAAAATAGTCTCTTTTGCAGAAGTAAGTTTTACGTCATGAAGGTAAGTAAAGGTGGCACACGTTTGTACTATGAAGGTGTAAAATTCTTTCGTTTCAGTCCTTTTCGCATCATTCAGTATCAGATTTTGTATGGATTTGAGCACTTCTTTATTCGACTATTCTCGAAAAGTTGTTCCACAAAATCCACCACGAGGAGCCACTTATTTTATACGATTCAGCATTTCATTACATACTGTGCAGGAGCCCAGCACTTTCATTCCATTCTTTTCGTCGCATCCACCATCCACGAGGGCCCTTCGAACTTTTGCATAGGAGTTCAGCAACTGCTCGAAGATTCCAGTTATTTTCATGGATGTCGTTATCAATCCAACCTTGGATCATTGCTACAACCATGCTTGGCGTTCTCAGAACTTCATCACAGGCTGCCGTCGCCTTCTATGAACCGTGTGAAACAATCTGATCGCAGTTAAGTCTGCCTGCAATTAACGGACTCCGGAGACAAGAACCTTAGTTCCTATGAAGCGGGATCGAACCAGGACCGTCTACATATTAGACAGAATCGCTATCACACATATATTACAGAAATAACAATAAGCATGAATTGCCCTGTTCTGATTTCTTGTAATTTCACTAGTTTTGAAGACGATGAGATAATCTTAACCTTTTTCTTTACTGCCTATTCTTTTTTAACGGCATGGTATCTTGCCAAATATAACTACTATAATGCTGAGATATTTGCAAAACTCCAGACTGCAGGCGTCTGCGGTGGGGGCGAACGCGCTATTGTACTTTCCGAGGAATAACGCGTTCACCACCACACCATGCGGGTCCTTCGTTTCGTCTGTTTCTCAGCTATGTGATAATGAGATAGTTTACACTATTTTTGCTCTTCTTTCTAAAATTATATAAAGAACTAATCTCTGTTTTCAAAAAAATGCTGAATTCTTCTTAAAGAAAGCACCTTTTTCCACCTAGTATTGGTCAACATTTACTCCACCAAGGTTTCGCCTAATCGAAAATGATGGTCAGAGATAAATTCACGGTTGTAAGTTCTCACTGTTCTCATAGGACCTGATGTCTCTACCGATTACTGCAACTATTACTGATATGATCAGTATTGATTTGCATGATTCCTGATAGAGATAATTTCACCCACTTAGTCTGTGGAAGATTCAACGTTAGCGTGTCCTTAACGTCACTGCCGAATCGTAGATAACCGAAAAACCTTAAATGTTGAGTCAAAATTTCAGGGATTCCATATGAATGAATAAAATTGAACTAGACGCCTTCTCAGAAAAACTGTAGAATGTTAAGCTGGAAAACATTTTGCATTTGTGCATATACTAATCAATAAAATCAATCAATACCCGACAGTCATGTAGACAATGAGAACTAGTAGACATGAAGTGTTGAGCACGCCGTTGTTAGTAACGAAATGTAACGGTTCATCCATTTGACTCTCAATAGGGAGCACCTAAACTGTCAGAGTGGTCGTTAAATTAGTTACCTACTGCGATTTTTTTCTATAAAGGCAACTTTTATTAAGAACTGGTATGGGTGTTTTGCTAAACAAACGATGAAAAGCCGTCGAGTTGTGCTAAAACTGCACTGCGATCTAGGAAAAATTGCTGAACACCGTATGTGACTTTGACTATTTCGCTGAGTTCCTTCGTTAAACGTGTTTTTTCTTTTTCTGGAAGTACGAGTGCAAGTCACTACGCTGATTAATCGATATCCATCATTTGCGTTAGCAGCTGCCTCCCTTTCCGGCAATTTTAATGCTTAATCAACCGACTAAATCTTGTGTGAACTATGGGGAGCGTCAGACAAAACCTGTCCACCCTAGTTTACGTTTCGACTAAGCAACAAAAATCTAAATCAATTCGCCATAAAATGCAAAAGAAATATGCAATAAACAAACCACAGCCACTCCTTCAAATGCAAACATCACGGTTCCGAAAAACAGTGGCAGGGTGGACCAATTGCCGACGGCCGGTAATGAGATGGTTCTACGATCAAACTGGAAGAGGTGTTGAAGCACGATGCAAACCGCAATCAGATATACCACATTGGCTACAGCGGCCAACGGTGCCAACGCCTAGAACAATGGCTGTAGATTTGATTGAATTGAAGTGAAGCACCATTGAAGTGTTCGCGTTTGAGCCGAACATTTCTATAAATTCCTGAGTATAACATCCTGTAAAAAATTCTCTATATTATTAAAACTACAGCTTCGGCTTAACTGATGTTCAATGTCGATTTTTGCTCCCCAGAACAATCATGTTGACGGATGACTGATGATGGAACTGGTAGACAAAAACTAGCTGAGAGAAAGACGAAGCGAAGGACCCACATGGTGTGGTGATGAACGAGTTAGATCTGGAGAGGGTAATCGTGTGCTCGATTACTACCTCGGACACCTGTGGTCCAGAGTTTTACAAATATCTTAGCATCATCGCGGTTGTGTTTTAAATAATATCCTGCTGTGAAAAATTTTAGTAGGTAGTCAGTAAAAAGTTAACATTGTGATCTCTATATTATTGTTGAGGAAATGCGAAGTATGAGATGCTGAGATATTTGCAAAATTCCGGACCACAGGTGTATGCAGTGGGGAACGAACACGCGCTGTTGTCCTTACCGGGGAGCAGCGCACTTCACCACTATACCGTCCGGGTCCTTCGCTTTGCATGTCTCTCAGCTAGTTCTATCGATCTTTTTGCCATCAGCAATCACCCGTCAACGGGATTGATCTGGGGAGCCAATATCGGCATTGAACCCAGTTAAGCTGAGGCTTAGTTATAATCACAATCTTAACTCTTAACGGGTGATTGCTGATAGCAAAAAGATCGATAGAACTAGCTGAGAGACAAGCAAAGCGAAGGACCCGGATGGTGTAGTGGTGAAGTGCGCTGCTCCCCAGTAAGGACAACAGCGCATGTTCGTTCCCCACTGCATACACCTGTGGTCCGGAGTTTTGCAAATATCTCAGCATCTCGTACGAGTTATAATTCGAAACATACCTTGCCATTAAGAAGAAAAAGGCAGTAAATAAAAGAGTTAAGAAATGCGAAGTGTTACTTTATTCCTTATTTGCGAACGAGCCGACGTTCCAGCGGATTTTGCCTTCCTCATAGCTTCGAAAGATAGAGTTGACTGTAATCTACTAAGGTGAGCACCTCCATAACCAAATAGAAAAATCTTTCTGTAAAGACTGTAAGAAGTAATGTGATGTACTAATAAAGACGGTTTGTGAGGAGTGCTGGGTAGATAGCAATCTTTCTTCTTCTTTCTCCCTGCTCACATTAATCCCTCGTTTACATTTTTGTGCCGAAATAAGCTATTTGCTTTTCTTAAGATATTTCTATGTATAGTGTAGATTCAATTTGTTGTCGGAAAACCAAAGCCCACACTTAAGGAATGCCCACAACGCTTTCTATTTTAATCGAGGGTGTGAGTAGAATCTGGATGAATCGGAGAAGTCGAGCAGGCTACAACTAGCGTCATTCGTCTTTCGGAGGTCAGAACTACTCAATGAGAGTTTCTTTTTCGTGGAGCAAAAGAACAGTGAGTCTTTGGTGCACTGGCGTTATTTTAATCTTCCTGGTAAAATGATGCCACCTTTTTGGTTCAAATAAAGCGGTAGTCCAAGGCGCTGTGCTCTGCCTTTACGTTAGTTCTGGTAGCCTACGTTATTAGCATGGTCGCTCAGTCTAATTCCTCTATTTTGCCTCCGAATTAAAACTGCTATGCAAAGTACAGTGTTTTCATGCAAAATCTAAATTCTAAATGAGTTTAGCTACTTGTCTTCTACGCAGCTGCCAGCTCGCAGAACTGCGTTGTCTAGCGCAGTACGTTGGTTACTTAGTTCGGGTCAAGTAAACATCTTCAAACTCAACCTTTGCGAATCGCAGGCGACGGTCTTAGTTTACATCCGCTTGAACTAGGCAAAGCTAGAATGTCTGCGTTTCTGAGATTTGGAAAAAGTTGCTTTTGATTAGTAAAGTTTCACGTTGGACCAGGTCTCAACCCCGAACGCGATGCTCTCGGGTACAGCGCGAGCTGTCCAACGGTTAAGGTCCTAGTGTGGATTACGATATTAACGAAGCCAAGCCGAGTGCTCTCCCCAAACAATATGTGCTCCAGTGGGCGTAACTTGCGCTCTACCATTGTAGATTGGAATTTAAAGAAAAATTGGCAAGATTCTATGTCCCAGTCTAGTCTCCCGTCTTACATCAAAGAAACACTGTCTTGTTTTTAGCCGTTTTCCACAAGTTAAATAATTAGTTAAAATTTACTTGGGTTGAATGAGATAAAGATGAAAAGAAAGAAGGCTGTGAAATAGTCTCATTATTGGTTCACTGTTCAACTAATGAGATGAGAGTATAGCGATGTAGAAAGTCAGCGTTTCTATGCCTCATATACGTCTGGTATCAATTTGCCGACCCTGGAGAAGTGTCGAGGCTTGGTGAGACCTCGGTGCAGGATCGAACCAGCGATCTATTCAGTGTGGAATGCAGAGTGCCTTTAACCATTATGATATATACATCCTCTGTTTGTTTGCATGACTTAATAGTTTTAACTTACTCTTAGTTCTCGAACGGTGCACAATGCCATAGTGGGAATCAGCAACAGAGCAATCCAACCGGCTTGTGAGATATGAATGTACGACGTCTGATCGAAAAACTAAACACAAAGTAGATCCTTATTCGTGCTGTTCTCAAGGAATATCAAAGATCCTTACATGAATTTACCTGTTTTAAATTATCAGCCATGAACACAAAATAAACGCAACAGAAACCGAATTGTGCTAGAAACATGTTTACATTCACCATTTGTCTAAAATCATTCTATCGCAATCAATATTGTCAACAAGATATCGATCGACCTTAGTGATAGAGGAAAAGCTCACTTGCAAAAATAACCGTGATCTCGAATCCATGACGGTCCAATTTCGACAGCTGATCGCATGACGTTTGCATAGTCCAAACGTGGTTGTGCTTTTCTTAATCCCAACGGATAATGCGAGAACATTTTTGGCAGAAGGAAATACTAACGAAAAAAAACTGTTAAAAATTATTAGCGCCAATGAAAACATAGAGGCTGCACCATTTGGAGCCATAGTTAGCGTGAATGGACGACGATAACCCAGGCACATAGTACGGCAATACTACGCTCAGGAGGTAACCTATTTTTTCTACACGGCATTGATTCCATAATGCCTTCTTTTTTCCTTTGCTTTGTCACTGTAATATAAGAAAAAAATAATGTCCGATGCTATGGCGGCTTTCTCAATGGGATGGTTCCTGACGTAGGAGTGCATCCCCGGCTGCAAATAGGGTTGGTCCAGTTGATCGAGCTAACCAGCTCGTTTTTTGATGGCCATCGCCGATGTTGGCTCGTTTGCCTTTTCGAGTCTGCTAACTGTGTGTCCACTTTTCCTAGTCACCTCACGACGTCGTTAGCAGTGTGAGTATTTATGGTTAAAATGGTGACCCTGAAGTGAACTGGCACTTTGGTCTGGCAAAACTGAGTTGATGTGCGTGAGTGCGACATCAAATTCTAACAAGACGTTACTGTAAGCCTTTAACGCCACCGATATGCCGGCAAAGTAGCTCAGAATGAATTCATAGAAAATTTCGAAAAATCTAAATAAATGAGTGAGGAGAAAACATTAAGAAGGACCACATCCTTGATGGAAGATGGATCATAGAGGTCGGGTGGACTCGCGTTCATGAGATGATTGAGTGTAAATTAGAGCTCCTCAATAACGGACTTTTTTGATACTTTTTGCCCTAATTATTTTTTTACTGATGTTTAAAAAATAATATTTCAACGAACTTACAGAAAACCTATGTAGTGTTGAGCGACGACGAGTTGTCGAGTGCAAAATATGCAAGTAAGACAAATGACGGGAAGAAGGCCAAAGCCGAGCTGAACAATGCAGTATTGCACAGTGGTCGTCAGTCTAGTCAAAGTTGTGAGCTTAACACCTATAAATCATTCGTTTCTGCCTTGGTGTTTATCATTCTCTTTCCCCAATGGATTACCGTGTTGTAGGTGATGGGCGTCACCGTAGAGGTCGAACCTGTATGGCAGAGGTTCATCGATGCGGCGTGCTCACCTTATATGAGAGGATATCGACTAACTAACAGAATGCGGGAGATGTAAGCGACATTGAACGAGTAGTTTTGCCAAAACTACGGCTTCTTTTACAATGATATTATTTTTTTAAATCTTGTTCATAATTTATCATTACACAAACTGTCTCTGCTTCCACTGCGAGTATGCATAATTTTCGTTGAAATCTGATTAAGTTTTGTTTCTCTCGAGCATCTGGATAGCCGCACTTGAGTGTCATTGCGTGAATTTAAAAGATTAAGTTGGTTCGGAGTGAGTCTGCCATCATTTTCCTCATCTCGGAGGTATGGCAGGCGCGTTTTGCCCGGATCAGGGATGAACCAACACCGCCACTGGGATGGACGACATAGTTAACATTTCGCTAACTACGCCTACAACAATATCGTTCCTACTGTTGACGCCAAAAATGAATATCTAAAAATGTTATCATATAGTAATGTTCCACTGATCTCCCTCATATGAGGGATCTCGAGACGGTTAGTCGCGAGGCTACGTGGCACGTCTTCGGGTGGCGGATAGGGGGTTAATCGCGGACCAAAACCGACCTTTGCTTCCCTGAGACCCAGGTGGACCCAGAGGATGGACTCACTTGTTCTGCTGCCCTGATTTGGCACACACTTCCTGTATTTGCTAGGCGTATTCATACATGCGTGTGTGGGTCCGTTCTTGCTTATGCGGATTGTATTCTACGAATCAATTCGGACAAAAGCCTGCAATCAAGTGACTGGGAAGTATATAGGAGGCAGTTAGGAGTAGCCCCCAACAAATAAGCTCAATGTCCACTCTGGAAGAGACTGGCAAGCTACCCGTGAGTACACCCAGTCCTCACGTTTACAGCCCAGCAATCTGTACTTGGTACCAAAAACCTATAAGTGGGTATCAAAAGTGCTAAACACAGTAAGAAAAAAAGGGCCTCATTACCTGACTCCGAAAGAACCCCAATTTCGCAGCGCTGGATAGGACGAGTACGGAGAGGTGGTTAAAATCTTAGAGCCAATGGAAGCTGCCTGGATTTCAAAGAACTATGGTGACAACCTGTACCCACAGTGCACGTACACTTGCATCCGAGCCCTCGATAGAAGACTTGCTCATGCAAGCAAGAAGGATAAAGTACGACGTCATCGGCCTGGCCGAGACGAGGTGACGCCAGCCTTTCAACGCCGTCTATGACACCGGAGAAGAACTGTTCGTCGGAAAATGCGACAGTAGAGGAGTCCGCGGCGTCGGCGTTCTCGTCAACACGAGATTGTTCATGAACATCGATTCATTCGAACAGCATACAACCCAAAACGGACGTTTCCGATTAAGAAGACGTGGATAAATTCCAGCTTTGACAATCTTCGTCGTTTACGCGCCGATACGAAACTATGACGAAGAAAAAGTCGAAGTGCTCTATATTGACTTGGAGAAGTTCTACAGAGAAGACCACACATTCTTCAAGGTCATCATTAGAGAATTCGGCGCCAAGATTGGACCAAGAAGAACGTCTGAAGAACGTCACATTGCGAGCCACTGATTAGAATGGGACGAACAGAGTGAGCGGCTATCTTACTTTATCATGCCGACCAAGACAATCCATGATAACTCGCAATTCCAGAAGCCTCTCCTTCAGCGCTGGACGTGGGAATCTTCCAATGGAGAGAACCGTAACGAAATAGACCATCATAGCAAGTAGGTTTTGCCGAACTGATGTTGCTGTTGTCCTAAAATTTTACACAGGATCAGACCATCGTCTTCTTCGTGCAATATTCCATTTCTCGCGGAAAGGAGAAAATGCCGTTAAATTCCAAAACCGAAGTCCCAGAACCACCGCATACTTGAACTTATTCAATTCATTAGTCGGCTGTTGGAAAGATGCTCTGTCGACAACATCGATGAAGAATACGATTGGCCCATTCAACATCTTCACGTTAGCGCTATGAAAGCTGAAAGTTCGAAAGTAACCAAGAGACGTTTGCCTCCAGAAACACTCGAGCTGATACGCCAGCGTGGGATCGCATGAGCTGCAGGCAGCCGCGAACTAACGTCCAAACTTGCAAAACAATGCAGACAGGAGACAAAAGATCATAAAGAGCGAAGAGCAGCAGTAATGGTCGAAGCTGCAGAGACTGGGAAAAGCATTCGCAAAGCCCACCAATGCTACGCGTCCTCGTAAACACACTGGCTCGGCTCTTCACACGTTACTTGTCTGAATGCAAGGTCTCTATTCAGTGGAAAACCACCAATACCGTGTTATTTCAAGAAAGGCGACCTACACGATATCGGCATCTATCGCCCAATCTGCTTACTGTCTGTCGTCTACAAACTTTTCACTCGAGTCATTCTAAACAGGATAGACAGAACACTAGATGAGGGGCAGGCATGTTAGAAAGCAGGGTTTTGAAAAAGATTTAGTACGATGGACCACATCCACACGGTAAGACTGCTCATTGAAGTGTCGCGAGAGTACAGTAGACCGCTCTGTCTCACTTTCATCGATTTACAGGAGGCCTTTAATTCAGTTGAGATAGAAGCAGTCTTGGAAGCCCTTGATAGTCAGTGGGCCCCTACTGAGCAAGTAAGGATTCTTCGTGAGCTGTACAAAAATTTCACAACCAAGATGTCACCATTCTACAACGATATTAACATTGACGTCAAGAAAGGAGTCAAGCAAGGCGATACCACCTCGCCAAAATTATTTACCGCCACCATCCGGAACGTCATGCGAACATTGGAATGGGCCATGATTGGAAGTGAAAATCGATAATCGATAATTATACCATTTTCGCTTTGCTGATGACATCGTCCTTATAACACCAAGCATTAGCCAAGTGGAACGTATGCCTGACGACTTTGATAAAGCCTGTGGAAGGATTGGTCTTCGGCTAATTCCCACAAAAACGATGTTCGTGAGGAACGGATTGGTTTCGTATGCTTCATTCACGCCCAACCGAACGAATATCTTCAAATGCTCCAGTTATGTCTGTCTAGGTCGGGAAATCAATATGATGAACGACTTAGCTCCAGAGCTATGCAGAAGGAAACGAGCGGCTTGGGGAGCTTTCAAGAGCATCGATGAAACAAAGCGTGCTGACAAGTCGAATAATGAATGCCCTCTGATAGTATTCGGCTTAAGTGATTACAGTCTTTTAAATAGTATATCTCCATGGGAAACATTTTGATCTGTTGTTAACATGAACGATCTTGCATCTGCAGTAACTCCCGCACCGTCTAGTGACACAATATAAGTAGACTGTCACTAGAAAGCCATTATGCATTTTTCATTATGCCAACGCTATAACATCTCATCGTTCTGAAAAACTTATCCTTCCTGTTGGTAATAACTGTGTTGCTCCTGCATTACGTACACATATCCACAACGTTAATAACTAGGTTAATTGCGCATAGGTTAAACTTATCACTTCTTTATAACCGTACTGTTACTGTGTTTAACATCCAATTTTGCGGTTTGGCGTCTAGGAAAATATTTTGATCTAAGAGGATTCGAAATAAGAAAAGACTTAGTTGGGTAAAACCCAATCTTCCACTCCTAGGATACACTTCCTTAGAAGAAACAGAGACTTGAAATGAAGATTGTAGAGTACGCTAAGTGAATGCCTCATTAAGACTTTTTAAACCATATTTAGAATGCTTAGAAGAACAAATAAAAGTAGTGCTCTAAATCATTTCACTTTAAATAGCTAAAGATTATATGAACGGTGGTAAATATGTCACTCACCCAAAGTCCAGAGTGCTTGAATGCTAGTGGTAGTGAAAGCATGCCGGTTCCCATCATCACCTGAAATCTTGTGCTGGTTGTGGACAGCTATCGAACACTTTTGTCGAACAAGCATAAGGCAGGCTGTAATGGACTTTTTTTTTCGAATAATAACCATTTAGTTTCCAGGATCGAC